TTGGGCCATCTTCTGCTGCTTTCCCAGGTGCATCAGCAGGCAGTTGGATGAGAAGTTGAGCAGCCAGGACTTGAACCCGCACATATATGGGGTGCTGGCACTGCAGGCAGAGGCTCAACCTTCTATTCCACACTGCTGGCCCCAGTACGTCATCATATGGATTACTATATTAACTTTACCTCCATGCAACCATTAAACATCTTCACAATAATGTATCAAATGTATACAGGGGTTTGTGCACATGCATGTTCATGCATGCAGCAATATTTACATATGGTATTGAAAATGATACTGTGAGGCTGGTGCCATGGTTCAATAGGCTAATCCTCCACCTTACGGCACCAGCACACCGGGTTCTAGTCCCCGTCGGGGCACCGGATTCTGTCCCAGTTGCCCCTCTTCCAGGCCAGCTCTCTGCTGTGGCCCGGGAGTGCAGTGGAGGATGGCCCAAGTGCTTGGGCCCTACACCTGCATGGGAGACCAGGAGAGGCACTTGGCTCCCAGCTTCAGATCAGCCCGGTGCACTGGCCACAGCACACTGGCCGCAGCAGCCATTGGAGGTTGAAGCAACAGTAAAGGAAGACCTTTATCTCTCTCACTATCCACTTTGCCTGTCAAAAAAAAAAAAAAAGAAAAAAGAAAATGATACTGTGAGAAACATTAACACACATTTCAAAAATGAAGTCTTCCTTGGAGACAGCTTCCTACAGGGCAAATCCCTGGGACCTTCTAAGTACTACAGGCTGATCTGTATCTCTCAAAAATTTATATCATGAAACGCTGACAACCAATGTGACCCTATTTGGAGATAAGACTTTAAGCAGATAATTGACATCAAATGATATCATAAATGTGAAGCCCTGATTCAAACTGATCAATGTTCTTATAAGGAGGGATGCACATAGACAGAAGAAATACCATGTAAGGGTACAGCAACATGGTGGCTATGTGGTAACCAAAGGGAGGTCTCAGGAGCAACCAAACCCATTATCATCTTGCTCTCAAATATTTAATCTCTAGAACTATGAGAAATATATTGCTGTGATTCAAGCCACATATTCGACAGTATTATGTTATGGCCACCCTAGCAAAGCAATGCACTCTTTTCTCTGCTTATATTTCCTACAGTCAATTAGAAGGCCACCACAATTATCAGACAAACACAGAAATTAAAAGCCATGGCTGGGGATCAGCACCGTGGGACAGTGGGCTAAGACTCCACCTGCAGCACCAGCATCTCATATCAACACTGGTTTGTCACCTGGCTGCTCCACTTCCAACCAGCTCTCTGTTTATGGCCTAGGAAAGCAGTGGAAGATGGCTCAAGCCCTGGGCTACTGCACTGATGTGGGAGACCTGGAGGAAGCGCCTGGCTCCTGGCTTTGGATCAGACCACCTTCCAGCCCTTGGAGCCATTTGGGGAGTGAAACAGTGGATGCAGACCTTTCTTTTATCTCTCTCTTTCCCTCTCTGTCTGTAACTGCTTCCCAAATAAATAAATAAAATCTTTAAAAAAAGAGATAATTGATCATAGAAATATGATATTATATATATATATATATATATATATATATATATATATATATATTATATGGGACTATCAATAAACCAACAGTTGGCAGCACTACCTGTTACGCCACAGTGTCAGAAACTTAAGGAGTGAACCAGCACATGGTAGATCACTCTCTATCTCTGCCTTTAATGAATTAAATTAATAAAAAAATTTAAAATATAAAATAAGATTACAAAAAATGTTTAAAAACAAGAATTGACATGGGTATTTGGTGCAACAGCTAAACACACCAATTTTTTTTACTTTTATTTAATAAATATAAATTTCCAAAGTACAGCTGATGGATTACAGTGGCTTCCACCCCCATAACTTCCCTGCCACCCGCAACCTTCCCATCTCCCACTCCCTCTCCCATTCCATTCACATCAAGATTCATCTTCAATTATCTTTATATGCAGAAGATCAATTTAGTATATATTAAGTAAAGATTTCAACAGTTTGCACCCACACAGAAAGACAAAGTGTAAAGTATTGTTTGAGTACTAGTTATAGCATTAATTCACATTGTACAACACATTAAGGACAGAGATCCTACATGGGGAGTGTGTGCACAGTGACTCCTGTTGTTGACTTAACAAATTGACACTCCAATTTTGATAACCATGTCCCATATAAGAGTGCCACCTTTGAGTTCAGCAACCCCACTTGTGATTCAATTTCCTGTGAATGCACCCCCTGGGAGACAGTAGGTGATGGCTCAAGTTATTGGGTCCCTGCCACACATGTGCGAGACCAGGATGGACTTCCTGGCTCCTGTGTTCAATCTGGCTGAGTTGCAACTGTTATAGGTTTGTTTGTTTTTTTTTTTTTCCAGAGGGGGTGAAACAGCCAATGGAAGATCTCCCTCTCTGCCTTTCAAATAAACAAAAATCAATAAATAAGACTTTTAAAAAAAGCATAACAGAGAAAATGATTGCAACCACATTACATACTAACCCACTTACATCAATAATCACTTTAAATGTGCATTATCTAAATACACTAAAGATAGAGATTGACATGGGAAAAATAAAATCAAGACCCAACTTCGTGCTGTCTATAGGAAAACCATTTAAATATACAGATACATGAAGGGAATTTGAAGTCATCTTGGCCAATCACATTTCATTTGCATAGTAGGAATACATTCAAGAGGTCTGTGTGCAACATGGTGAAAATAGTTAATAACAATGTGTTCTACTATAGAAAAATAAATAAGAATTTAGACTTTTAAGGATTCTTATCATGAAAATAGGTAGATAACATAATGGATATGGTAACTGCCTTCCCTTGTTCATTTAAATTATATAAATATTTCCAAATTCCATTCTCATCAATTTAAGACACATCTATACACAACTGCTTAAAAATAAAAATATGCCGAAAAATAGTCCATTACAATACCAATTCAATGAAATGTAGAAAAACAGCATTCATTTCAGACTAATCAGAATTTAGGTCAGACTACTACAAGGGTTACACAGTGAGACAACTGGCAGTTCTTCAAGAAGACATTACAAGGCTTGCTACCAGTGCCCCTAAGTAGAGCATTAAGTTATGTAAGAGAAAACTTATATAACTCCAAGCAAAAATACAGATCCATCATTCCTAATCAGTACAAATAGATCAACAGTCTAAATACTCAACCAGTGGTCATTAGGAACTAGGAATATGTTACCAACCAGAAATGTCAGTTAACACCAGGTGGGATAAATAAATAAGGTAAATCTAACTGCTGGGAAGTCAAAAACTTAGTAAGTGCATAAGCATGAAAAGTTAGATACTTAATTCTTGTATTCCACTAACACTGCCTACAGAAGTAGAATTTATTCACAACCTATAGCCTAACAACATTTTCACATTATTTTAAAAACTTACTGTGAAGCAACACATGAGAAAAAAATTAAAATATTATCACAAATATCACAAAATAAACAAAGAAAAGCTCACTATTGAGAGTAATAGCTTATTTTATTTTTTGACAGGCAGAGTGAGACAGTAAGAGAGAGAGACCGAGAGAAAGGTTTTCCTTCCACTGGTTCACCTCCCAAATGACAGCTACAGCTGGCACGCTGCACCAATCTGAAGCCAGGAGCCAGGTGCTTCCTCCTGGTCTCCCACATGGGTGCAGGGCCCAAACACTTGGGCCATCCTCCACTGCCTTCCCAGGCCACAGCAGAGCGCTGGACTGGAAGAGGAGCAACCGGGACAGAATCCGGCGCCCCAACCAGGACTAGAACCCGGTGTGCAGGTGCCACAGGTGTGGAGGATTAGCCTAGTGAGCCGCGGTGCCAGCTGAGAGTAATAGCTTTATGCCACATACACACACACACACACACACACACACACACACCATTAAAAAGAACCTCAGCTCTTTCACCAGTGGGGGCAGAGGTAGAAGAGATCAAGAAGACCCCTGGTGCCAACAATGCAGCACAGCAGATAAAGTTGCCGCCTGCATTGCCAGCATCCCATACAGGTGCCGGTTCCCATCCCAGCTACTCCACTTCCCATCCCACTCTCTGCTATGGCCTGGGAAAGTGGGAGATGCTCAAGTTCTTGGGGCCCTGCACCCCCATGGGAGATCAGGAAGAACCTCCTGGATCCTGGCTTTGGATCAGCACAGCTCTGGCCATTGTGACCATCTGGGGAATGAACCAATGGATGGAAGCCCTCTCTCTCTCACTCTTTCTCTCCCTCTCTCCACTTCTACCTCTCTGTAACTCTACCTTTCAAATAAATAAATAAAACTTCAAAAAGAAACAAGACCCCTGAACTGACCAAGGCCCACTTATTTACCTGGGTAGCCATTCCATTAGTGTTTACATTATTAATCAAACTTAGCAGAAAATAAAAGATCCTCTTTCCTTTTTCAAATCTTATCACTGAATAAACTCAGGTTTCATCAAAGAAAACAGCAGTGTAACATTCAAATCATGTCACACAGTTCCTACACAAGTGGGCAGACTGAATAAATGGAAGCAAATTTCTACAAAAGACATGAATGGAACGAGCGCTGGGAGGCTGCCTGTTGAACCCACACTCAGGTTCCCCAGGCTGCAGGTCTTGGTGCTCACACTACCTGGGATTGGCCTCCCCCACACTCCATTTGTCCACATGGGATCTGTGCCATCCCAAGCCTCACCAGCAGAAAGTCCGTCCCCACACCCTGCCCCGCATCCTTGGCCCAAAAACATGTGGTTGCTGTTACATCATTAGCAACAAAACACTGATTCAGACCCCTAGGAAAAGCTAAGGGCCTGAGACCCCGGTGCCCAACTCAAGGAAATCAGGTCACGGGTTAGGTTCAGATTCTCCTTCTCCCCACACAACCTGGAGAGGTGAGGCCGCGTTCAGGCGGAGTCGCTGCACACTGAGACAGGGCCATACACCAGGGTCCCAGCTGCCCGCCCCCCTCACCTCCTGTGGGCCTGGGACTCACACTCACCGCTTCCTGCGTCCAGGGACTCCGGGCGTCCTCTCAGGGCCCTGCGCTGAGGGGAGTTCAGGGTAGAAGTGTCTGAGCTGACCGGCAGGAGCAGACCAGGAAGAGGATCCCTCAGGGTCTGCCCTGTTGCCATGGCGCACCTGATTTAACAGTCACAGAGGCCGCATGACGTCACAGAGGACGCACCCAATCAGCATCGTCTCTAGTGTGAGGGCGGGCCCTTGGGGTTGCATCGAGTGGGAGGAGTGAGAGGCGGGCTTGGTCTCAGGCCTGAAACTTGGCCTTCCCGACTGCAGGGGGCGCTGCCCCGCCCGCAGGATCCCATCTCCTGAGATCCTGTTCAGACCTTGAATCTGGAGCTTGCCATAATCCTCAGGTGAGTTGCAGTTTACTGTTTATGGATTCTGGGCCTTTTCTCTTTGTGTTCTTGGCTTATTTTTCTGTTAGGTCATTTGATTTTGTTAAATACGGATTTGAAGAGTATTTCTCATACAGATATTCATTTTCTGGATTGTACTTTGTCCGTTACCATTGTTTTCTATTTGCTTTTTACGGGGACCTCATAACCTACTTGATTGTATTGATCCTGTACCCAATAATTTTAGTTAATTCGCCTATCAGCTCATATTTGGTTTTGGCTTGTGTTGGATTTTCTCTACATAGACTAATATCATTAACATACATTAAGAGTTCTATTACTTAAAAGCTAACCCAATACCTCGCATTTCTTTTTGTTTGTTTAATTTCCCTAATTATGCATCCAGGGCAATGTTGAAGAAAGAGAGAGGAGAAAACCTTGCCCAAGATTATTTCCAGGGAAAAATTGTTTAGTGTTCTGTGTTAATTATGCTGTTTATTACTTCTCTGTAGCTAGTCTTAATTACAATTAGAGAATCACTATTATTTTTCTGTTCTTTTTATAGTTATAAGTTGTTGTATTAAAAGCTTTTCAACATTTAATCTCATCATTCATGTGATTTACTTATATTTTTCTTACACATGAATTATTTACTCGGATTATTTTGGAATGTTAAATCATCTTTGCATCTTCTAATGTATCCTGCTTGTTGTTGATCTCTTCTGTTTTCATATTTTGCTTCAAATACCTGTATCTCTTATTAAAGATTTATGTTAAGTTCCTTCCACCTGATCTGTGTCCACTAATGTAAAGCAATGAATTCAAAAGAAATTCAAATATATTCTCTGTCTATTGCCACTTTAGATGAATCTGGGAAAATGAGCAACAACCTTCCTTGAATGCCTAGAATTTTCTAAGTCTGAGTCTGAAATTTTCCTTGTGGAATTTTTAAATTCATTGATTTGATTTTTCAACTATTGATTAGTCTTATTTAACTTATATGGAAGTTCTCTACAGTATGCAATATCTGTGTTATGGTATATTAGTTTCCAAAATTCAGTGACTTGATATCTCTTTAAAAAATTTTTACTCCAAACTATTTCTCATAATACTTACTATCTTGTTAAGGTTTATAAATGGAGGAGGGTAGCTGGGGGGCTTTATGGTGTAATGAGTAAAGCTGCAGCAGGGATGCCAGCATCCCATAAAGGCACCAATTTAAGTCCTGTGTGCTTCACTTCTGATGTAGCACCCTGCTAAGTGTCCTGAGAAAGCAGCTGAAGCTGGCCCAAGTGTTTAAACCCCTGCAACCAACACAGGAGACCCAAATGAATCTCCTGGCTCCTGCCTCCCTATCCACTGTAGCCATTTAGGTAGTGACCCAAGGGATGGGAGATCTCTCTCTCTCTCTCTCTCTCTCTCTCTCTGTGTGTGTTCATGTGTATGTGTGTAGTTCTTTGTTTTTCTTTTTTTCTTTACTCTGCTGCCTCCCCTGTAACTCTGACTTTCAAATAAATCTTTAAAATGAAAAAAAAAGAAAATTTTTGAAGATGATGCTATTTGGATTCCTGAAGCTGGTTGTTTGTATGGTATTTCTCTTTTCTTTCCTTAATGACTTATACTAATTTTATTAATTTTGTTAATATGCTTTAAAAACTCTTTTTCCTTATTTCTATTGTGCATTTTTCTACAGGTTTCATTGATGCCTTCCTGTTTTTACTTGCCTCTCTTGTGTGGTTTATTCTATAGTTAATTTTAGTTCTTAAGAAAGAAACTGCAGGAAGCTGGCATTGTGGCATAGTGGGTAAAGCTGCCACCTGCAACCCCAGCATTCCATATTGGTACCAGCTTGAGTCCAGGCTGCTTGATTTGCAGTTCAGCTTCCTGCTAATGGCCTGGAAAAGACAGCAAGAGATTGCCAAAATGCTTGGCCCTACACTTATGTGGGGAATCCAGAAGAAGCTCCTGGCTCCTGGCTTCAGACTGGCCCAGCTCTGGCCATTAAAACCATTTGGGGAGTGAACCAGTGGAATGATGGAAGATTCTCTCTCTCTCTCTCTCTCTCAAATAAATAAACAAATCAGTTTTAAAAAAGGAAGCCATAATGACTGGTTCTCAATCACTTGAGGCTCTAAATTTTCTCTAAGCAGGTCTCCACCTACTGTGACAATTTATATTGCATCTCCTGTATTTTTTGCTGTGTTTCCAAATCCTGTAATAATATGCCCTGTCTGCCTCCTAATGTTTCCAGTTCCATGTGTCTGCTCACTTTGCATATCTCTAATCCTGTTCCTAAAACCCATATGCTATTTGCTATTTCAACATTTCCTTTATCTGGGACCCTTGTTCATTTTGATAGTTTTGTCATTTAAAAAGTGTCATCCAAGCCAGCTCTTTAAAGCTTCTGCTCCTTGTGTCTGCAGCATGTCCCAGCTGTGAGAGTCCTCATCCCTTTTATGTACAGCACATCTCTCTGCAAGTCTCCTGCTGGACCTGCACACCATGCCAGTCCCCATGGGTCTCCAGCCACTCTGTATGTAGCCCTAATTTTCCCTAAGTGCTGACCTCCCTTGTCCATACAACCTGTCAGTACTTGTGTGTCTCCAGTCCTTCTCTGTATAGAGTGACCTTTCTCCTGCCCTGCAGTGACTTCGTCCCTTTACTCCCAGTTCATGGAAGCCTGTGGGTACCACTCTGCCCTTTGCTTACAACTACGGCTTCCTTCAGCTGTCTGCCTGCTACTTGCCTGAAGCCAATGTCTTCCTTGTGTCTCTGGAACCCCTGTGACTCCAGCCCATGCCTTTTCTCTTGTGTCCCCATGTCCAGTGTCCAGGCCCCATATTTCCTAATTCCATGTGCCTTCAAGAGCCTCCACCTACTGTGACAGCTTGGCTCTCTGTTTATCTACTAAAGAACATTTTGATTTCATTCAGGTTTTAGGCATTAGGAATAAAGCTGCTGTGTATGTTTTTATCCTAGATTGTGGGTTTAAGCTTTCCAGTTAGCTGGGTAAATCTATCAGGACATCCTTCCTGCACTGTATAAGGATACTATCATAGGCTTTAAAATACCTTATCCAGATATCTTGTGAAGGATTTAGCCATTTTGACCAGTAATGAATAATATTTTTGAATATTCTACATCCTAGTAAAAACTGGCACCAAAATGATTGTTTATTAAGACCATTTTATAAATATGTAGTGTTTCTACCTCATTGGCATTTAATTTGCATTAATTTTATGGAACATTCATTCGTTTATCTCACAATTCCCTAAAGTTCAATATATTGTATGTATTTATTTCTAATCTGCATATATCCTATGTAAATACAACTCGATTTTTTAGGTTTAAATTGGAGGATTTATCACCTTATTAAATGTCACAAGCTTCATGAAATTTGCAGGCAATTCTTGTGGATATATGTTTTACAAGTGTTATCTCCCATTGTGGGGCTTATCTTCTATTTAAATAATATGTTAGAGAACACCTTTAGTTAACACAGCTCACATTATATATTTTTATGGATCATGCATTCAATGCTGTATATAAAACCTCTCATATAAATAAATTCATGTCTTGTTTAAAAGGAAAATAAAACAATGTATGTACATCATGATTATACCTGTGTAAAAACACGTGGATAGGAAAAGGTGTCAAAACTGTAATAACTGAGATTTTATCAAGCTAGCAGACTTATGGGTGATTTTTTTTCCTTTATTCTAAAGAAAATGTTCATTTTGGAAAAAGGGAATTCTGAAAAGCATTAACATGAACAATAACCCTGTGATTCCATCATCCACGAAAGTCACTGCCAATACTGAAGTAGATTCTGCTTTGTTTCTGGATTTCCCCATATAGCCTATTCTTCAATTGATGTATGGTGTTGACACACCATAATATGCATATTTTATAGTATAGCCTAATGGCAACTTTTCACTGGAAAAGAAATGACAGCCATGTCCTTACTCAAATTCGAAAAGTCCTTCCAGGGACTGGCTTTGTGGTCTATGAAGTAAAGCCGCAGTGTGCACTACTATCTCATATGGGCTCCAGTTCTCTAGGCTGCTCCACTTCCAATCCAGCATTCCAATAATGGGGGGGGATGCATTTTAAATCTCTGTGGGTGCAAACTGTTGAAATTTTTACTTAGTATATACTAAGTTGATCTTCCATATATAAAGATAATTGAAAATGAACCTTGATGAAGAATGGGATGAGAGAGGGAGTGGGAAATGGGATGGTTGTGGTTGGAGGGAATTTATGGGGGAATAGCCACTATAATCCAAAAGCTGTACTTTGGAAATTTATATTTATTAAATAAAAGTTAAAAAATCAAAATACAAAAAGAAAAGTCCTAGTTGTTTAGCCCCTGCCACCCACATGTGAAACCTGAAAGAAACTCCTGGCTCCTAACTTCATCCAGAGAGTTGGTATAGAGGTGGATGGAAGTCAGGAGAAGACTGAAGCAAAAGGGAGCATTGTGGCCCTCCCTTCACCCCAGGTCATCTGGGGGAATCTTAAAGCTGTGAACTCTATCAGCAGCATTCCTGACCTCAGTGCTCCCCTCCAGGGCAAATGAAATTTGTCTCGGGCCTTAGTCTTACACAGGGGTTGGCTCCCAGAACAGGGGGCACAGCTAGGCATAGAGGGGCACCCTCCCCTATTTAACTCTCCTAATCTGAGCTCTGGGTTGAGGCAGTGGAGGGGGAACTGAAGCCAAGGATTATGTGCTAGCTGCAGAAGAGGGAACCTGAGGGGCCCA